GGAGGTGAAGCTTGTTAGCTTCAAATTAGGTCTTAAAATAATGTCCTTGAGTAGAAATTTTTTAGGAAAACACAATAACTAGTTTTAGAGGTTTTAACTCGAAAATATTTAAATGAGCAGTTTAGCATGCAAAAGGAAAACAGATAACATAAAGGCATTATTTCAGTCAATATACCACTTTTTAAAATATTAAAGTTAAATATAAGTAGGAAAGTTTGTTCTTTCACACATAAGATGAGAATAATCTTGACCTTGATACTTCAACAACTGAAAAGCCCATCCAGCCCCACAATTTCAGTAACTACCCATATGGTAAGGACTCCCAAATCTTTCTGTATCTTAAGTCCAGACCTCTCTGTTGGAGCTCCTCCAGTCCTGTTTACTTTCTGAATACCTTACAACTCAAGATAACTCACCTTTCCCAATATTCACATTCCAATTCTTCCCCTCTGCTTCCTATCACAGAAGATATAAAAGGGACTGCCATCCACTCAGACACTTGGGAATCTCCCTACACTATTTTCTTTCTCAACTCTCAAATCTAATGTTTTCTTGAAATTTCTTCCTCCTCTTGCTTCTTCCCCTACCTTTTCCTTTGTTGAGGACTTTTATCCTTCATCTAAACTCCCACAATAACCTCCTACATGTTCTTCTTATTCTCCCACTATCTATTGAAATAAAGGCATCTGCCTAGCCCCCAAAGGAATGTGAATTTGAGATTCTTGGCTCCAAAGAACCTGAACTTCCATTATGACAACAAGAAACATCAAGATCTAGTTCCTACCTAGCTATTCAGCCTCTATTTCTGCCACTCACTCCCCACTGTCCATTTATTTTAAAGTAACTTTCTGGTCCCTGAGTGCTGATTCACACTTGCATGTTTTGTCCATGTACAGAAATCACTTTCACCTTTACCTACACTATGTTTAGCAAACTCCTATTTATCCTCTAAATCTTCCTAGCACAAACCACTTCCTTCTTTATGTTACCTCAGTATCTCTGAAATATTTTTATAGCTGAAAATGTATTCGGTTACTCTTAAGTTTGAGGCGAACAATGTCTCACTCAACTCTGTACTCTTAGTTCTCAGCACAGTAACCTGTAGATAGTTAACAAGTGAATGTTGAATGTAAACTGATCTAGAACTGAGATGAGGCTGGAATTGCAGGTCATACTCCTAAAGGTCTACATGTGCTGAAGTATTTGAATATTTCCTCTGTGCCAACTTGGACTGAGGACTGAAAAGAATGAGCCACAGTCAGGCGCAGTGGCTCAAGCCTGTAATCCCATCATTTTAGGAGGCTGAAGCGGGAGGATCACGTGAGGCCAGGAGTTTTTTTTTTTTTTTTTTTTTTTTGAGAAAAAGCATAAAATTTATTTGCCATGTACACAGGGAAAACCACAGAGTAACTACTCCTAAAAACTCATTTTTAAGCAACAGTTTATTCCTAAAAAGATGCCGGTCAATACATTTTTGCAGCTCAGCACAGTGGTTCCTGCCTGTAATCCTAGCACTCTGGGAAGCTGAGGCAGGAGGATTGTTTGAGCCCAGGAGTTCGAGACCACCCTGGGTAACACAGCAAGACCCTATCTCTACAAAACAATTAAAAAAAAAATTAGTCGGGCACACCAAGCTTCTTGGGAGGCTGAGGCAGGGAGATCACCCAGGAGTTTGAGGTTGCAGTGAACTATGGTCACACACCACTACACTCTAGCCTGAGTGACAAAGCAAGACTCTGTATCTAGCAACAAAAAAATCAGAACACATTTTAAATGAAAGGGGTTGGTAGGGAGAGAGGAACATGATCACACTGATTTTTTTTATAGGACTCGTTTTCACAACCATATCTATAAATTTCATATAGATAGGCAAGTCCCTCAGATTTATGTTAACAAGTAACTTCCCAATTGTAATTTTTTTCTTTTTTTGAGATAGGATCTTGCTCTACTGCCCAGGCTAGAGTGCAGTAGTGTCATCATAGCTCACTGCAACCTCAAACTCCCTGGCTCGAGCAGTCCTGCCTCAGCCTCCTGAGTAGCTGGGATTACAGGTGTATGCCACAATGCCTATCCCCCAAATGTAATCCTCCTCCTTTTTCTAGTCATATTCTTTTTGGAATCTTAAGGGTTTCCTACATATAAAATGAAGTTGTCTACAAATAGAAATGATTTTACTTCTTCCTAATTTGGATTCTCTGTTATTTCTTTTTCTTGCCTAACTGCTCTAGCTAAGGCTTCTAGTACTAAACTGAATACAAGTGGCAAGAACAGGCATCCTTGCCTTGTTATTGATCTTAGAGAAAAAGCTTCCAGTTTTTCACTGTTGAGTATGATGTTAGCTATGGGTTTTTCATATATGGCCTTTATTATGTTGAGGCAGTTTCCTTCTATTCCTAGTTTGTTGAGTGTTTTTTAATTATGAAAGGATGTTGAACTTTGTCAAATACTTTTTCTAAAACAATTGAAATGATAATGTGGTTTTTGTCCTTCATTCTGTCAACGTGGTGTATCACACAGATTAATTTTCATATGACGAACCACCCTTGCATTCTAGAAATAAATCCCACTTGTTCATGTTATATAATCCTTTTAATGTGCTGTTGAATTCAGCTCACTAGTATCTTGTGGAGGACTTTTACCTCAATACGATATTGATGAGGAATATTGGTCTGCAGTCCAGTCATATTCTTTTTTTTTTTTTTTTTTTTTTGAGACAGCATCTTGCTCTGTCGCCCAGGCTAGAGTGCAGTAGTGTCATTATAGCTCACCACAATCTCAAACTCTTGGGCTCAAGTGGTTCTCTCGCCTCTGCCTCCTGAGTAGCTGGGACTAGAGGCATGCATCACCACACCCTGCTAGTTTTCCTATTTTTTTATAGAGATGGGGTCTCACTCTTGCTCAGGTTGGTCTCGATCTCTTGGCCTCAAGCAATCCTCCTACCTCAGCCTCCCAAAGTGCTAGGATTATAGCCATGAGCCACCACGCCCAGCCTAATCATATTCTTTTAAAATTTATAATGTTAGACTCTGGGACAATTATTTCTCACCTGCATGAAGTCTGTTTTGATGGACTGCATCTAGAAACAACCTCATTTCCTCTGCATCCTTACTTGGTACTTTGTCAATAGACAAGAAACTGTTATCTTGTAGAGTTAACATTAGGCGGCTTTGTTTTGTTCCACTGGGTCGAAGCACCACATTTTTAATGTTATGACTTAGCTGATCAAGACAAAAGGGAAATTATCTTATCATTAAAAGCATATGATAACAAAGTATCATTTGTATAATGAATACTAAACTTTATACTTTCCAAGTTACATTTCTCACTCTTACCAATAGTAATTTAATTTTTTTCAAACAAAAGGAGTTCCCATTTCTTGACACATTTAATCAAAGATTGAACTTTTAGGAGACGCAAACACATCCACTAAGTCTTCACTTAATGTCATCAATTGGTTCTTAGAAACTGCAAGTTTAAGCAAAAGGACATATAGCAGGTCCTCGAATAACATAATTTCCTTCAATGTCATTTCATTACAACATTGATAAGGAAAAGAACTGGTTTTATTATCCATCATTTCACTTAAAGTCACAGTTTTCAAGAACCTATCAATGTTAAGTGAAGACTTATCTACTATTATTAATAAAATTCATCTTACAGAGTAATCCTCACACTTTTGATCTTATTAGGGAATCTCACATTTTCAAACATAGTTGTAGAGGATAAAAATTAGTGAGTAAACACTAACTTTCAGAGCCTAGATAGGCATACCATTACCAGTTTAGAAAACAAAATTGGATTAGAGTCTTTTTCTTTCTTTTTAAACAAAAACTTATGATATTTGGCAAATTGTTTAGGTAGCTGCAATGTAAAAATATATATTAATCCAAGCTACAATTCTGAACAGAATTCCAAACTCTCAAAAACATAAAAAAATAAGCCTTTACCAATATAAGAACAAGTCTTTTTTCCTTTAACTGTCTAAGCAGACTCGCTTAACTTTCATTCAATCAAAAGATCCTGTGGACCCCAGAATTCTTAGCTTACTAATACCCCTCCCTAGAACTGATTCAACCATTCATCTTAGAGCAGACTCTCCCAGATGTTGGAAATGTGCTATGAAGCAGTAACTTTAATTTTCGCTTAAATGAAATTTTTCCAAGGCTAAATTAATAAATCTTACGGTTTCTTTAGTATCTAAATAATTCCTACAGGCCGGCGCGGTGGCTCACGCCTATAATCCTAGCACTCTGGGAGGCCAAGG